GCTGGGAAATTTCATGGCCTATACTGTACATTCATGTTATTCTTCTTGATCAATACTCAGCATCAAGAAGTAAAAGCGAATTGTTTGAAATGCAGTACTGCGAACAGTTGATCCTCTTCGTCCGTTTTGATTCTGTATTACGTTACGAAGGATCGTGAGAATCTCGGCAAGATTACATTAATAATACAGCTAGCTATTACTGCATAGCAAGTGATGAAGTTTGTACATGTATTTCCTCCATGATTCATGCTGTTTACCTGTTGTGAGGTTAATGACGGATTGTCTTATCAGGGTTTCACTATCTGAATTGCTGTTACTACAGCATTACCGTCAAACTCGCGTTGTTGTGACTTCCTTAATATCTGATGGCACTTGTAGAAACAGGCATTTTACAACACTATGCAATGAACTGACGCAGTTATTAGTTGGCTGAACTTTCATTCTTCATGGAAAAGAGTACTTTTGGTCATTTTGTGGGCTACTTTAATGCCTAGCGCATCCAAATCACGGATATAATTGTAGTAACGTTTGTCCCTGCAATAGCTAGTAGTAGATAAAAATTACTTCATATTTAATGTTGGCAGTGATTTAACCTTAAATCTGAGAGGTACCTCAGCACGACTGGTCGTCTGATATTTTTTTATGTGCTGTTAGGCATTAAACCTCTAGTAAGTATTTGTAACTGACAATTTATCAAAATTTTATGTCGACGGGCTTCTGCTTTTGTTTCTACTCTACTGTTACCATGTAACCTTCCGATTAGTTGTTTTTAACACGTAAGGGTGTTAAAGAAATGAAGGAAAGTTTCGCTGTTGGAATGTTTGTCTTTACACTGTCGTGATGGGGCCAATTATAGCAGCATTGTTTCCATAAGGCACTGTTCTCCATTAGCATGTCACTACCCAGGAATACTTCACTTTTTAAGGTGGAGTCGACGGCATCTATGCAGCTAGTATATAGTCTGAAATCTTCTGTTTGTTTCTCACAGCGTGGCACTTATTTAAAAACTTTGAAAGTAAGAAAGGTGAACGACCCCGATAGAGGCTGGAAACCTTAACCTCTCGCTGCTCACTCAGGTGTTCTACCGATTGAGGCGTCTAGGATGCATCTGTCCAAATGTCTCAGGGCGATGGAACCATCAAAAGTTAGAAAGTTAGGAAAGTTTTGTAAATGACCTAAAGCCGCAGAAACCATGTACCTATTTAGACTGACTTTGATATTGAAACTTTAGAATATAACTTTCAGGCGAACGCCAGCGGGACCGTATTGAGGTGCGAGATCGTGGGCAGCGTGAAAATGCGCGTTTTCCTGTCCGGAATGCCAGAATTACGTCTCGGTTTGAACGACAAAGTGTTATTTGAAAGCAGCGGCCGTAAGTGCATTGCTTCTATGCGTTGTTAAATCAGTGACCAGTGTTTTTCTGCACGCTCTACCAATTAGAGTTTAAAAGTTTTATGCGAAGTTGACATACACTTTCTGGTCTAAGAGTACTTCTTTATTATCTAGTACTTTGTAGGTGTGTCCCAAGAAGATTGATCAGATGGATATGAAACGTCTACATTTTATATAATCAAATTCATGTGATGTAAACTGTGAAGATCAAGAAATTTCTACTCGCATAAATTACCTTTTTTACTGTATCTACATCTAAGTGAAAATGAAAAGCAAATGATCTTGCCAAAACTCATACGTTTTCAGTCTTTCGATCGGGTAGCTACAAAAATGCTGTCTCGCTATATGGCTTCATCTAAGGGATAAGTAGACAGGCACCATTTATATCATTCCGTCAAGAAAACATTGTGAGATTGTTTTATATTTTCTGCTCCCTGAAAAGAGGATGAAGCGTTCAAGGGATAGATGGAAGACGGACTACACAATATTGGAAGGATGGCCGTACGAAATAATCGCCGTCTTGTCGAAGTTGACTTGTGAGGCCTTAATGTATTAGAATTACAAATTTGCTTCAGGTTCTTACGCCAGAGGGTATACAAGACCTTTTGACTGTTACGTAGCACCGTAGCATTTTTTTATGCTTTTCTGTTCTTTTTAGGCGGTCGAAGCAAATCTGTTGAATTAGAGGACGTGAAGTTTCATCAGTGCGTACGGTTGTCGAGGTTCGAGAATGACCGGACCATTTCTTTCATTCCTCCTGACGGCGAGTTCGAACTGATGTCGTATCGTCTGACGACGCACGTCAAGCCACTGATTTGGATCGAGTCGGTTATCGAACGCCACCGTCACAGCCGTATCGAATACATGATCAAGGTGAGCTCTCGATGCCAGCGGATAAACAGATAAAAAAATATTTGTGCGCAGAATCACCCATGATCTTTAGGGTATATTAACAGACGTTGGTTTTCGATGCTGTTGACTAGAATACCGTATACTTCTTTACTGCCCTAGGATTCAAGCCATCTTTTAACGGTATTATAGCATTATTGTGCTGACAGTGCATGGCTGCAAAACGTCGTCACTATGTTTGACAATGCAAAATGTTCAAACTCCGATTAAAACACTTCCTTTCACAGGTTTATATACAACCTGAACCCAAAATCTTGCATTCATAATGTTCTAGGTTTACCGACAGAAACTAATGTTGATACCGTCGATTGTCCGAATGGCATAGTCACACCCTCCGCCTTGCTTCTAAAGACAAACGGAATCTATCGAACAACAGATCCGTAGTCTTCAGCTCACCTAAAATTCATGGATGCGAAATTGCCTCACTGTGTTAGGTGGAACAACCCCATCATACCCGCAGAGTAAATATTGTAATCGGTCAGTTGATAAATAGAAATGTACACCATTTTTCGGGTTTAGCTATAGAACTTCAATAGCACTGCTTAGAATAAGGGACTCATAGTCTTGAAGTACATTTGACTGAATGCTATGCGTAGTCGCACGGTTTTAGGCGAAGAGTCAGTTCAAGCGACGGAGTACGGCCAACAACGTGGAGGTGATTATTCCGGTGCCAAATGACGCAGACACGCCAAAGTTCAAGACATCGGTCGGTTCCGTTCGATACGTACCTGAGCAAGGAGCGTTCGTGTGGCACATAAAATCTTTCCCAGTAAATACGTGGCATAGTTGTTTTGTTTCGTTGGCTACACTATAAGACGTGTTTCAGGGCGGCAAGGAATATTTGATGCGGGCACACTTCGGTTTGCCCAGTGTCGAATCCGAAGACCAAGAAGGCAAGCCACCGATCATCGTGAAGTTTGAGATTCCGTATTTCACGGTCTCGGGCATTCAGGTTGGCGGAAACAAAATGAATACGTATTGTTTGACGTGTAGCTGCTACGTATTTGTTTGCAGGTGAGGTATTTGAAAATAATCGAGAAGAGTGGCTACCAGGCTTTGCCATGGGTGCGTTACATAACACAGAACGGCGAGTATCAATTGAGGACTAGCTGATATCTGGTAGGCTTTGGACGACGGACAGCACAGTTTAGGCCAACCTTGTTTGCTTCTCTGGATAATCTGTAAAGGTTGCTGATTATATCCTGTGATTTTCTATTTTTATGTTTTAACTGTGTGCTTTATTGGTTGCAGTTTTTGTTGAAATATCTGGAAAGGGCTTCGAATTCATTTTCACTGTTTTTGCTTCATGATTCCCGTAGGTTCGTCGCCGAATATACCGTAACTTCATTCAGTTTTTCAATCACTCACTACTACTGCCTGTGTAGACATGAAAAAAAATTTGCGGCATAGGATTTAATACAGATAGCTTGAATTTGTCTCATACTCACTGTCCATAAGTTTACCTTGGTGTTACCGTCTCAGACAGTGGAAAAGGCCAAAATGCAGACTGCCTGACAGAATAAAATACGGTTAAGTACATGAACTGTAATCACTGCGGTAGCTGTGGCTAGACCTAAAGCAGTTGAGCGGTAGGACATGGCAGCCTGTTACGGCAGTTTCTCGAACACCAGTTATAAACCTGAGTGCGCAAATTCAAGGTTTCTGTATATTATGATCCACAGTGAAATGCATCATGTGCTACATTCTCTGGAGAACTGCTATTCATGGGCAAGAAACATCAGACGGGATTGACACAAAATTAAATGAGTCGTAACTTGAAATAATGAATAACAACACTCTCCGCTGCATGAATTCTCAAGACCTGAACCAAGGTAACAGCCTTGCGTAGAAGTTTGCGTTTGTTTCTGTCATATATGAAAAGGAAATTTGAAGTATGTCGTTATAGTCGTCGTGTCCAGGCAGGCATAGGTTTTAAATTCTGCCTGGTTCGTAAATGATTGTTGCAACGCGGAAAGTCTCTCTAGATATCAGTTTACATGATTTTAGCGTACAGCACACATTCCCCAATTCGATCACCATAGTTATACTACTTTTTATACAGATTTGAGTGTTTTAACCTGCAGGTGTTAGAGATTTCTCAAAATCTATCAGTCAGTTTCGATCACCGCTTCTACTTCCGGATCAGCAGTGTCTCTAACGTTCCTGGTCCTGTGCCTAAGTTTTGGCAGAAGATAACTCGAGTGTGGAGCAGAGTCCGTTGAGGTACTTGCCTCCGGCTATTCTCGGCCGTCCCCGGAGTCTTCATTCAGTCGGCCGAGTAAGTAGTAACAGATTTTCTGAATAATGAATGCTAACCGAGAGACAATTTTTATCAGCTGCAACCAGTGAAGCGAAGTTAAAAACCCGATGCAAATATCACACTCTGACACCACGAAAGACAACAGAACCTGTTGAAAATAGACAAATAAAGTAATCAAGATGCGCTTTGACAAGACCAGTCTCGTTTCGGAATGCCGTGCAGATCTTCGACATACTTGGCAACGTATTTTTTCCAAAGCACACCGACGATGATGCCACCGATAATCAGGGCGTAGTATCCATCAAAATACGTCATGCACTGCCCTGGGGAACACTGCTGGTCCTTTGTGCAGCTGGTCGCCGCCAAGTCTCCAGTGCAGTACTTCCACGTAAAATTGTCCACTACCGACAAAGCCATGGTGATCGGCCAGTTGGCACCAAGGTTCGCCATCGTGTTTAACAGCGACATGTACGTGCCACCGACGTTCGGGTCAGAGATCTGAGCGTGGAAAGCCATCTGTGAGACGAATATGGCATACGCGGTCACCTGTTATAAGTATCGTAGTCAATGCAGGGCGTCTGATTACCAGAATCTCATTCGTTACCTGATGAGCACAGTAAATCAACATGATCATGCAGTAATAGTAAACTGGAAAGTGACCGTCGTGATTACCAAAATAGGGTGTCACGTAGACGGCAGCGGCGAAAAACACGGACATCAGATTCCTAAAAAGTAGCAAAATTTATGTAAATTCTAATGCCAAGGACGTTTTCTTTTAAAAATCCCAAACAGCAGCGCTTTTAAAATGGAAATAGCACCCCAAAAATTTTAAACTGGAGCCTCAGCGTTGTCAGCCCAGCATTCAAAATATTCTTGTCTTTTTACATTTAAAAAGAAACATGGATTTATCGACGCTTGCAATCACAAAGTACTCTTTAAATACTTTGAAATTCTGTAGCAGTTTTCAGTCACATGTTGAAACTACAATACATGAAAATTTAAGGCAAACGCTATTTAAATAACCTCTCAGGGACGTCTTTGGAAATCCTCTGCATCGTTCAACTGAAATAATGTCACTACCGGTTCATTTGTATGCAACTGCATACAAAAATGTATTTAAAAAATTATTTATATATCTTATACAAATGATAATAAATAGAAAACATTTAACATAAAA